TTTTACCATGTCAATGGATATATAAAATTCATCATTTATTACACGTTCAAGCATCAACTCGAATACAAATTGTTTGTCATTTTTGTCTTTTATATAGGTTGGATGTTTAGAAGATATTTATGTCCTTTCAGATGTTTTAAGACCAACAACAATTCGACCAATTTTTTCATAATCAATATGATGAACTTCGTTTATTTATAATTTTTTTTAACATCCCTTTATATGACATGATCTTAATAATTTAATCTTTTCAAGAAAAGAGAAAAAAAAAGATATTTATTATGTTTTTTTTTGAATTCTTTCTTTTTATTTGAAGATTTATCAAATCTCAACAAATGAAAAAATGTTTCGAAAGTAGCATAAATGATTCAAGTAATTCGAAAAATTGAACTATTTTATCATCATTCTTTTGGACAGAATATAGTTGATATTTCAGTTTTCACAGAAGAAAAGAGTTCCAAAGTTTTAGATTTGAAAAATGTATTTGATCATGTCTTATCTAAAGGAATTCATTTGTTTTTTCTTTTGAAATAGAATGAAAAAGATTCATCAACAACATCAAATACAGACAAAGCTAAAAAAGTTAATCATACACAATTAGGTACTTTTGTAAATTATCCGAATTAATACGTTCATCTTATCAAATACATAAAAGTTTATTAAACTCATCAGAAATGATCATTATTGTCTATGAAATCAGTTTTAAGTCTTATTTCTACACAAGATTTATCAAAAAAATTTGGAAGAGAAACACTTAATTATTTTAAATCAACATTCAATGTACACAAAAGGTAACTTCTTTTAAATAGTAAATATTTATTGTTTAAGCTAAAACCTTTAGGATGTTGTATTGTGTCTGAAACTTGTCTATGGATAAAGCTTTAGATGGAAATCTTATAATGAAGGTTTCTGGAAGGGTCTTTCTTAGAGAAGGAAAATTGCAATATAAGAATGTCATAGTAACAGAAAAACTGATTTTACGAATAGCGATGATCTTAACGAGAGTAGTTTTGTTGTGAAAGTGTCAGATCTTTTGATTCGGTTCTATCTTGAAATTCGAATATTAAATCATCTAGTTTACGTCAGTGATCTGCAAGACACACTATCAATTCGAAATTTGAAAATCATTTTTTTCTGTTAACACAACATTCATTTAAAAATATTCTTTTAATTTAGTTTTTATTAAATCTTCAAATGTTTCTTCACAAGTATTATTAAATAATTCTTTAACTTATATTCATACGATAAGTATTCGACAATCGATAATTTATTTTATTTGGTTCACGTTATGCATCAAGTATAAATAGTGCAATACGACAGTAAAATAAACAAAAAAAACGAATTTGATCTATTCTGTTGTTTTTGTTTTCTATTTTAGTTTTTAGTGAACTAAAAAATTAGTCTTAAAAAATATATTAATAGAAATGAAAGTGATTTTCAAGCTGCTGTACTCGATTTGCTTGTTCAATTACTTTTAATTCGTGTTAATAATAGTTAATTAGAAGTTGATGAAATTCGTTGCATTTCTAATCGTTTCGTTTATTTTTAAATAGCATTTTATTTATTGTATTGCTGAATTTCTTGTTATGTTATCACATGATACACTTCATTCAAAACAAGTTATTAAAGTACAAGATATAATAAAATATTATGATTCATTATTAGCAAGTGGACATGAACCTGAAACACATGGTAGGAAGCAAAAAAAAACATTTTCGAGAAAAATAAATTATCGTTAAAATTCTTTATTTAGCTTTGGCAGCATTAAAACTAGTTTTATATGATTTTTTTTTCTTGTTCGAGTTATGCAAATAATTAAAATTCCTAAAAAGTTTTATTAAATGAGAGTGAACAAAAAGTGTCCTTCTATAAAGTCTCAAATATCTTAGAAACTCGAGAAGTTGTGAGTATGGGTATGTAGATGTCATTTTTCTCCTTGGTTGAACCCACATCCACACTTCAACGAATTGATGATCTGAAAATAATCATCTTGTTGTTATGTATTTGAGTTTGAAGGAAAACTAGGCGTCTTAATTAATTATTATAAATAAAAGTATCTTTTCATGTCATGTGTATGTACTGAAAAAATAATTATAGAATTTATATTGTTATAGGCTTTACGATTGTTCACAGTTATTGTTAATAGTGTTCAAATTGAAGATGATAAATGGGAACGTCTTTCACGACAAATTGTCGATTTACTTCTTGCTCATTTACAATCTCAGGTTATTTTTTTGTTCAAATAGAATCAATCACTTTTGGATATTTATTCCACACAATTAACACTATTTGATGTTGCTTTTCGAGCATTAGTAAATAGAAATGTCCGTTGTTTTTATTTATAAAATTTTCCTATAGTTCAAAATTTCTTTTAGAATGTCAATTATCAATCTACAAATCGATAGTTAATCAATATAAATATAATATTTCGATGTCTTGTAGAAAATTTAACTGAAGGTGCTATATTAACACGATAGAATGATGTTTTATCATCAGTTAATGAAACACGAGATGAAACTTTTAGTGCGTAAGTATTCGAAATGATTTTATTTATAATTTAAAAACTATTATTCTCGTTTTTGTTTTCAGAGCTCTTCTTCGTGTCTTACATGACATAATATTATGAATTTTAACTAATACTCGACAATTATGTGGTCAAATCAATATGACATTAGTTTCTCTTGCATCCGATTATCTTTATGTACATATCACCCATTAATTTGAAGATAAAACTTTCCTGCAATTCATTAATTACTAATGAGCTAGCGAAAAACATTTGACTTTAACAATCCTATGCTTATATAAAATCTATGATTTTATTTTAGCTAAACAATTTCGAACAATTGTAAATGATTTTCATCAATTATGAATTCATGATGAAACTCTACATTGTCTTGAGACATTTTCATATTTAACTATTTTAAATGAATGTTTTAAATTATTATGATCATCATTTTATATCTGATTATTATTACAATGGATACATATTCTGAATATGCTTGATTATACACAAGAAGCATGCTGGTCACCAATATTAACACCATCATCATTAATAACACATTTATCTATAAGTAGTAAATTACAATCTTATTGTGATTTAATATATCATCATGAATTATATGTTGAACATTTTACATCAATAACAACACATTATCAATTATTATTATTATTTTTTATTTTATCTTATACATCATACATCAGTTGCAAGCCATTTATTTTTTTTGTGAAGGAATACATTTATATGAAAATGGTCTTGTATTAGTTTTATTAATTGAACAATTTCTTCCATTACCATTAAATAAACAATTATGACCTAAATATATACCATGAATTTTATAAATACTATCAATAACAATATCAATCGATATTATTAAAGAAGATTTTAATAATCTTAATTGTCCTATGGATATAACAAGAAAAATTTATGAGCAAATGCTTAAAAATGTAACTTTTAAAAAATGATTGCCCTTTATGTTGTCACCGGTATATTTTAGTTTAATTTATCGAAATAAATATATATATATGTATAATAAAAATATTAATTCAATTAAAAGAAATGTTTTTTTTTTTACTTTAACATTGTTTATGTGCTAGTAATAGATGAGACTTTTGAATAATTCAAAATTTCGAAAAATATTTTGAAATAGAAAATATGCAGAATTTCAGGTAATACAAATCGTAAAGAAAAGCATTTAAGCTACATTAGTACAATGACCCAATAATTCCTCTCGAATCTTATTGATCAAATTCTCAGTCGTGCTATTTGTACTATTACAATTAAAGAAAACGACGTCTTTCTAATATTATATTTTGAAATAAATTGCATTCGAGAATTTCGATAAACTTTCTATAAGTTTGAACTCGTGAACTCTGAACGTATTGGATTTTTTCCACAGCATTAAATTTTTAGGATGATTCTTATAGTAAATGAAAATTGATTTGAGAAAATACGAAACAATATAAATCTGTTCTTTGTTTGTTTTCCTAGGATTTTGTATAGTTATATCAAATGAAACAAATTAAAATGACATTGAAACAACACCTAATAAAATTTATGAAAATAGTCTTTTATCATGCTTCTAATAATCAACCATATTCAATTGCATTCATAGATTCTATATCAAAATATTTTGATAAAATACAAAATCATGTTGAATTAACATGTCAATTTTCAACAGGTGATATACATGATTTATTACGTTTTATAATATTCATATCAGAAATAATTTATATAAATATATTTCAAAAAAAAAACATCATTTCTTAGTTGTGAAACAGATCAAATAATATCATGTTGTACATTATCGAAAATACTATTATCAATATTTGAATATCTTTATCAACGACATGGTTTAACTATATCAAATATATTATAATCATATTTAAATTTAATTGAACCAGATAAAAGATCTTGTATTCAACTATTACTTTTATTATTTAATGATCTTGATCATCTTTATTATTTAACAAGAAAAATTAAATATACACGTATATATCATATATTTATTGGCATGATTTACGTTGTATAGCTATATTATTATTTTGTTTATCAATATTTATATAAAGACAATTTTGGAGTTGGTTGATTATTAAGAATACAATTTCAAGAAATATAGGCTTCATTTTTAGCTTCGATCAATTCACCACAAATCAATCTAATGATGAAAATAAACAAACAACAAATAATTTAAAAAAAAAAGAAGAAACTTTAGAAACAAATGCAACACAATGGTAACAAGATTGAAAAATAAACTAGATTTTATCTGTTTTGTTTTTTTATCGGTGGTCAATATATGCAAACACGTTCAACATTAGATACAAGTTCAAATAATTTATTTACAAATATTGAACGGTTAGGTACACATGATTTATTATCCTATGGACAACTTTCATATGATACTATATTAACATCAATCCAAAGTAATAATACATTACCATTATCAGTTAATGTAAGTCTCACATATGTTTTAATAATCGACAAATAGAACTCTAAGTTAAAAGAAAGATAAATTCATTGCTAAATTATTAATTTCATCAAACAGAAAATCTAGTGTTTCTCTGACTTTGATTTGATATATAATACATGCAAACTATCTTATTTCATAGAAATAAAAGCTTATATCAATAATTTCAAATAAATTCTATCAATCAAAAAATTAGAGTATGAACATTTTCTTTTCTGGAATCCATCTTTAAAAATATATAATTTAGAGTTTATTTGATTGCTTATTTTTTCATCATGGTTTTGATTTAACATTATCATTACAAATTCTAATTGAAATATATGTAATATAAATTAATAGGTTCAATTATATATCTATCTGATTTATTTGTACATGGTTTGATGAAGATGATTTAATAATATCCTTAATAAGTTATAATTTATGTAAATCTAGTATATTACTTGGACAAACAACAAAAGAATATAATGAATTATATATAAATTTAATTGAACGTAATTATAAATTAATAACTAAAACTCATGCATATGCATCATGTTTATTCATGAAGTTGATTTAAATTCATATGATATTTTATTATCATTAATAAAAGATGATAATTTAACACAAAAAGTTATATCAATTAGTCTTGAAAAACTTTTAATAGTTGGTCAATATCCCAAAAATGATATATAGTGTTAATACTTTCACGTATTTATACATTATTACAACGACCAAATAAAAATACAAAATCCATTAAATAATAAACATGTTAATAAAGAACAAACAATAATTGCTAGTTCATCAATAATATCATCATCAGATAATATTCTTATTGAACTTGTTGAAGAATTATATACACGTACAAAACAATCATCAACATTAGCATATGAAGCTTTACTTTTATTACGTCCTTTATCATTATTACTTGCACACATTAGTTTTTTTTTTCGTGCTTTAATTAATGCACGTTATTCAGCTAAAGTTAATGAATGGACTTTATTATCAATGACAAATATTGCACAAAGAAAATCACTATGTATGGCTATATGGGGGTTAACTTGTCTTATGTTAAGTGCATGTCTATCACAGGGTGTGGGTGTGGGTGAAGACAAGACCTATAATGATACCCACACCCACACCCTCTTATGAGTAAAATTCTGCCTATGGTTAAATATTCTTCCTAGTTTTCTTTTTAAAAATTATCAAGACCTACACATACAATTAAAATTTATTTGGAAAAAATAAATAGTAAAACATTAATGAAAAACAAAAACTCTTTATTGCAATCCGAAGGAATGACGATCAATACAAAATCAATAAATTTCTCCATGAAATGTCAAAATGAATTTTCATTGATAATATTGTATATCTTTTACTTTTTTAGGTTTTTATTGATGCAATTACGTTTTGGTGCTCGTTTCGAAGAATCAGACAACCGTTTATTTCTTATTGCTGATCCAAAAATAATATCTGCAGGTATATTAAAAGAAAACTTGCAAATATCAATTGTATCAACAAAAAAGCAAAAAATCTATTTTATTTATTTTAGTTAACGAATATTGCACATTAACGTCAATTTGAACAAGCATTCATACATGAATCGAATCTAGAAAAATGATATGCTGATTTACTTGAACACATTCAAAATACGATGTGAATGTAGATGTTGTTTGGATATGTTGATGAATCATATATACTCTCTCTCTGTCATCCATACCCACACTTTCAATAAAGACTAAAAATATCGATTCATAAAATGGAAACTTAGCAACAAGAATTAATTTATCTACTTTTTTTCTTTTTACTAGAATTGGTCTCTACTATAACAATCATATCTAAATTTTCTAAAACCAATCAGAATAGATTGTCATTTATTTTGTGCTCTAATTTTCGTTTGGCTTATTGATTTATATTTCATATCGTATGTTTTATTATGATTTCAATCATTGATTTAACTAGTATATAAGTCGATTACATGTATCCATTATAAACATATTTTAGCCATTGAAGTTTTAACGAAGACTTTTCTAAACCATGTCGTTAGAGTTTAAGAGAAATTTTCACAAATCTGGATTAAAACTTGCATTTATAACCAGTACTTTTAATAATATCAAGAAGAATGTGAGTATAGATGTTGATATTCTGTTTAACCATAGCTACACTCTTTGACTCGTTTTGGTTTAGTAAATTATATGTAAAAGCAGCTACCAATACTTCATCCTATTGAACTGTTTTCTGAAAATCCATTGAAAATGATAAATTCAAAAAATCTCGCACTACACAATTGTTTCTCTTTATTCAAATAACAGTTCTTTTTTCTTGATTTATTATTCGTATTTTTTATTATTTTATTATCAATACAAAAAAAATTTCATAATAAAGAATAAAATTGAATATTTTAATGTAAAAAGCAATTCATCATGGACACTATTTAACGATAACTATCAGAAAAGGAATCAAACCAACTTCCACAGGTTCGAGTTCAGTTCGATGCCTGACAAGCGCGGTATTATCCTGTAAAATTATTTTAGATTGTAAATTTCTGAGAATTTTTTTAATGAAAAGCATAAGTTAAAACTCAACGATACAATCATCAAAATGCATGAGTTCAGAAAAAATAAATCATAAATAACGAAAATTCGATCATCACTAAAGAATATTCTGTAAGAAAATGATCGCACCATGTTCCTGTTACATTCTAAAGATACTAAAAGGCTTGTAAACACATTCTAGAATACTTCAAACATATTTAGATTTTATTTTAAATTTATTTCTGGATTTTTGGTAAATGTTTATAAATGTAAATTGATCGCTTTGCAAAATATTTCATCGAACATCGTTTGATAATCACATATAACATCACAACTTTACAAAAATGATTATATCTTAGCTAATCATCTTTTTTCATATGCCTATCTATATTTATTCATTTTTTCAAAATTACTAATATATGTTTATGGAAGAAGTCGTTGTTTCAATGAATAGTATGATGTTGAATCCTGTTCTATTTTCATTACTGAAAATAGGAGAGACGATTAGCTTCAAAACTTTTTTTCTCACAATCTACTTTCGTGATATAAATTTTGTGTTCTAACTTATTTAACTTTGCTTCAAATATTTTTTTTGTTGTTGACACAGTAAACTTTGCATACATGTGACGATACAAAATAAAAAATTTTTTTCTCATAAAATTTAATTTAAACAGAAATAACGGGTGCGGCAAAATAAATGGCCCTCTCAGTATTTTAATTATAACTTTTTTGCTTTTTGTTCTTTAGAGCTGATTGTTTTTCCAAAAGATGCGCCGTTAAATTCTCTACAAAATCATAATCAAACTTATTTTTGTAGAAATTTATGGGAAAACCATTAAAAGGAGATAATATAGCACATAAAAATGACCCCATTTTCCAAGCTATTGGATGTTCCATAATGAATGGCTGATGTTTGTATCACTTTTTTTATTATTCAGCATGTTTATTTTAAAGACAAAGTATACCATAATATGCAGCTTGAAAAGCTCTACAAGTTACATTAAAAATCTTATTTTATATATGCATTCTTTGTTTATAAAATGGACAAAATTCTGTGCGCCCAATTTTTGACGCTCCAAACAAGATCATTTTTTGTTACACTACGAATTCGTTTTTTCTTAATTCATCTTTTTATCACTTAATAAGCTTCAATAAAAGAAAACAAAATATGCCACAAAATGCAGCGCGAAAAGCTCTACAATTTACAAAGAACAATTTATTTTGTATATGTACACCTTTTGTTTCTAAAATAAGCAAAATATTGTGCGACCAACAAATGATCCTGTTTGCAGCATCGAAAATTGGTCGTACAGAATTTCGTCCATTTTGAAAACAAAGAATACATATATAAAATAAGATTTTAAATGTAACTTGTAGAGCTTTTCAAGCTGCATCTTATGGTATACTTTAGTTTCAAAATAGACAT